ACCCCCACCCCACAACCCTCACCCTGATGGCTTCCCTGTCACCACCCTTGTCCAGGTCTGGCTGTCTCCCAGCGACAGCGGGCATACAGCACCAACCAGATCGCCAACCATAAGCCCTCCCCAAGGGCTGCCACGGCCAGTGACCCTACAACGGCTGCCAGGAGATACCCAATGCGGAAAGCCAAGCTGCAGGACCTCACCAACCAGACCAGCCTGGATGCCCCGCGGTGGCAAATTGATTTGCAGGTACCTAGGCAGGGCAGGTTGGATCGGAGGGGGGAAGCTGTGTCTCCTGCTTCAACCACAAGGATGGAGCTGTAACTTACATTGAGAAGTGAGTCACTTCTGTCTTCTTTTTCTGGATCTTCCTCTGCCTGAACCCCAGTGACAACTTCCTAATAATGATACCCATTGGTCAATGACATCACCTATTCTCTACATACAGCATTTTCCAATTGGTGAGGAGCATCCCCATCTATTCTCTCATTTGATTTTATGGCACCCCTGGAAAAGAAGAGAGTGTGGGAGCTGGCCACCCCAAACCTGTACAGATGTGGAAATTGAGAGCCTGAGGGCCAGGGTCACACAGCTAGTCAGGGGATTGCAACCCAGGACCCTCTGCCTGCAAAGCCCTTGCTTTTCCCTCCATCACACTGTACCTTCTGCAAATCCCAAGGATAGTACATTCACCCAATGCAAAAATCATCTGAGTTAGAGCCACAGCAGGATCCATCACCCACCATCCAGCTAGACCAGAGTTTCTCGGCCTCAGTACTACTGATATGATCATTTTTGTTGTGGGGCCATCCTGTGTAGTGTAGAATGTTTGGCAGCATCTCTGGCCTCTATCAAATTAATGCCAGTAACGCCTTCATCCCCAGTGACAATTAAAAATGTCTGCAGATGAAGCCAAATGTCCCCTGGGGAGGGCAGGGAAATGACCAGGTTGAGAAACGCTGTCCTAAACTAAATTGGTGTTTGGCATTATCTGCACACCTTATTGCATTTTCTTAAGAATGAGTTTTACCTACACTTTGTCATGGTGAGTCTGTGGTTCAATAAAAGCAGCTTATCACACCTCCTCTCCCATCTGCCACCACATCCCTCCCTGCCCCCACGACACATACGTCACCATGCTCCGCAGGGGCAGAGATACTGCCAACTTGTCCATGAAGCCCTTCTCCATCCTTAGCCAGGGACCAACTCGATGCATTTGGAAAACACTGACCCTGGAGTCAAGCAGACTCTGCCCCTCAAATATGTTACTTAACCTCTCTAAGCCCCAATTTCTTCATCTTCATCTATGCATTAGAGAGAATAGCTTTTGTGGATGACACCACCAACAATACAGCCACCAGCAATAAATATCTATTTGTTAGGAGCTAACTGTAAGCTAACTGTGGAGGACACTTGCAGGCATCAGCTGATAAGAGATCAAGTGCCTCGTGCAGCACCTGGCATACAGTAGGTGTCCTTTAAATGCAGCTCTACTTGGTGAGCATACTGGGCAGCTTGGCTTTCCTTCGGTCCTGCTTGCTTCTGGCCCACCTTTGCTTATGCCTCCTTCATCCCCTGCTTGGCTTCTTCCCCAGTCTCATTCCCCCCAACACATTTGTGTGAATGTACACACACGTGTGTACACTCACATGCACACACTCCCTGCAGCCTCTGGCTGGATGAAAGGCTGAATCTTAGACTAATCTGTTGCCATGGAAACTGCAGCAGCTGCTGTTTCTCAGTGTATTGGTGATGATGGGGCAAAGATGGGGGGAATCCCACACTCTGATGAGGGAAGAGTATTAGGGATCCCCTAGAATCCAACAGCCCGGCTGGGTTACACTGAAGCCAGCCTAAGGGTGACAGTCCCTTTCTTCTCCCACACCCTTGTACCATCCCAGGACCTCGCGCCCAGAGGAAACAGGAAGAAGAACCCCAGCCCCTGTCCCAAGGAGTCCCCATCTAATGGGGAAGTATAGTCCCCTTCCCCACAAATACTTGATAGAGATGAAAAAGACTCCTCCCTCCCCGTTAACTGGTGGCCTAAAGGACTGAGTCATTTTTCTCTGTTACACCAAGAATAAGTGCCTTTGCTCCCCCATCTCCTGCCCTATCAGGTGATATCTGTGTTGCCAGAGGTGTAAAATTCATTTTTAATTAATTTAATACTCTTTAATTGCAAAAATAATACATACTCAAAATTTGTGATAAAAACCCTTGAACAGCTCGACTGGGTATAAAGTAAAAAATATCCTTTCCCAGTGCCCAGACCCACCTGATTCTGAGTGTTTTCTTCCAAATACTACACACACACAAACACACACAGACACAACACACATATATGTTTTAAATAACCACATCTACAGACTTCTCTCCAATTTACTTTTCTAATGTCTTCTTAACTCACTTTTTTTACAGTGAAATTACTTTTTTTTTTTTATACAGTGAAATTACTCTTTTTTGACAAATGCATATGAGCATGAGAGCTTTGCTGGAATAAAGGTGGGGATCTGAAATGTATATAGTCATGTGACTATTTCCACAATCAAAATACAGAACCTTTGCAACTTACTTTTTAAAAGTGAGTTTTATCTTGGACATCTTCCCATATTGGTATGAAAAAATCTGCCTCTTTCATTGATTGCAGTGTTATGTGGTATTCCAGGTACCATGACTTGTTTGTCAACACTTGTTGAAGAATATTCACAAAATCTTTTTTATATAAACAATGCTGCAACAAATACACAGTATGTGCACATAGATAGCTGCATCCTGGTGTTTTTCCGCAGAATTCGGAATCGCTGGGTCAAAGGAGTTTGTGCCTTTTTTAATGTTGACCGATATAGCACGTTGCTACATTGTTCTCCCGCAAGTAAGCATCAGCGCACGCCCACCTACAGTCCATGGAAGACCCTGTCTTCCCACTGACTTGCTGGGTGTTGCCAAACATTTAAATATTTGCCAATCTGGAAGATGGGGGGAGGGGGGAATCGTCATTTATTTTAATTTAGAGCAATGCTTGTGAGGCTGAGCATTTTTTCATGGGTTCTTGGATACTTTTTCTGTAACCTGCCTGTAAATGCTCTTAACCCATTATTTTACTGAGTTTATCTCTTCCCCTCCAGTGATTTATAAAAGCATTTTCTTGAAAATTATCTTTGTCATGCATGTTGCAAATATATTTCCCAGTTTATCCCTTGCCTTTTGATGGTTTTTTTTTTTTTTTTGGACCAAGAATAGACAGATTAAATCCACAAAACAGAACAGAAAGTCCAGAAATAAAGCCAAATTCACATGAATTTCAAATTCAAATTCACTTTGAAAATTGAAAAACCCTAGAGACTCAATAAATGAACCATGTTCAATAAGTTGTGCGGAGATTTGTACTATTCAGAAAATCACAGAAAAGGCTGGTTTCTATTTCCTTACACCAAAATAGATTTTATGTAAATCAAAGATTTAAGCAAACAAAAATAAAATCACAAAAAATTCTAGAGAATTTTTTTTTGAGTGGGAAAGACCTTTTAAGCATGACATATGAGAAGACATAAGGAAAAGGTTAATTTTAAACACATACCCCAAAAGTTTTAAACTTTATGGCCAAAAAAAAAAAAAAGTGAGTTTAGAATATTATCCATGGTATGTAACTTTCTATGGTTTTCTGTCGTTTGCACTTTACCCGTGGTTTGGGGTTGTTCGTGTTGATGTTCCTCATGGATCGTGGAAAGTAGGCTATTTGTCCTTGGGTACTGAAGGCGGGGGCAGTCTTCAGGAGAAGCTGTGGTGCCCAGGGAAGGAGTGTGGCTGGGGTGGCAGGAAGGCGGCCAGCCACCAGGCACACAGCCCCCTCCCCTCCCTCTTGCACCCCCAGCCCTTCCTGAACTATGGCTCAGAGCTGAGCCCGGGCCCCAAACTCAGGGGCCCAGGGGCCCGCAGGCCCTCTCTGCTGCCCCAAGGCTGCCAGCCTTTCCTGCCCACCAGCCCGGAGACCCAGGCCTGGAGCCCCATGAGAGAGCTGGATCTTGGGTCCAGCCTAAAGCCTGTCTCAGACTACCGCATCCCTGGAGAGCTTGGTAAGTGTCCACAAGGTTTGGGACCTGACCGGGGACAGGGAGGACTCCTTGGCTATGGCCTAAGTTCAAAGACAACTGTGTCTGCGCCCTTTGGGGGTGGGGGGAGTCTGTTGTGGCCTATTCTCTCCCTGAGGACCTCACCAACTCCTCTATTTCCCAATCCACCTGGCCCTCGGGCTGCCTCTGTCCCCCAGATGTCCTCCCTGAGGTTGCATTCTCCCTAAAGAGTACCCTCACCCCATCCTTCCTAACCACCTCAGGTACTGGCTTCTTGAGAAGTGGGTCTGTCCCATTCTTAGGGACAAGCCCATGCCACTCCCGCTATTCTAGGGAAGGAGTTGTGGGTCCCCTGGGGGTACGGTGGGGATACTTAACTATACTTGGCTTAGAGATGTCTGTGCCCTGGGAAGGGATGATGTTCCTTGGGGGTTGGCCCTCCGTCGTCTGCCCTGCCCCCCACCGCTCAGAGCAAGGCTCTCTTGTCCCTTGGCCCACAGAACTGTCCCATCACCCCTCTGCCTTCGAGACTGACACGTCCTCAGACTGGGAGCCCCTGGCCGAGCCCCAAGATCAGGCCAGTCCCAGCAGACCTGTCACCCCAGACCCCGTGCTGGGCAAGGCCGTAGTCAAGGGCCTACGCAACAGCCAACGTCTGCAATGGGAGGTGAGCTTCGAGCTGGGGCCTCCTGGCCCGGAGCAGAGTGGCGCGCAGGACGCTGACCTGTGGAGCGAGACCTTCCACCACCTGGCGGCCCGGGCCATCATCCGCGACTTCGAGCAGCTGGCAGAGCGCCAGGGCGAGATCGAGCAAGGTGGGTGCCAGGTCCACCACTCACTTTACAGCCCCACCAACGCCCCACCCTACTACCCCCACCCCTACGATCAGCCCTCCTCCCCAGACCACACAGCCAGGTCAGAGCCCAGCACTCCACTCCCACAATGCATCACTGCCTCCAGGTGCCTCCCCTCACTCCCAGGACACCCCCTCCTCCACCACAAAAGTGGGGATGCTGGTAGGGGAGACAGGTCAGGGGTTCATTAAAGCTGTCCCTTCCCCCTTTGGAAGCATGAGCACTAGCACACACACACACACACACACACCGGAGTTCCATTCCCTCCTTGATCTGCCCCCATTCCCCTCCATGCCCCTCTCCCCTTCTCCCTCCACCCTTGCCCCACAACCCCTGCCCGATGATCCATCCCGTCCTCTCCTCCTTCCTTCCCCTCGGCTACAGATCCCCGACTCCTCCTCACTTTCCAGGGCTGCATCCTTCAGTGCCCACTGACACAGAACAGTAGGGACAGCCCTATTCCACCTGCCCCTCCTCTGGACCACACCTACCTTCCCACAGAACCCCTAGACCTAGTCGGTCCACTCATTCATCCAGGCCACTTAAGTGCAGGTCAGCGGAGGGCCAGGCTTGGGACTGAAAAACTCCGGTGACCACCACATCCCTGCCCTTGCTTCTGAGTGCTTGACACAGACTAGCAGAGAAGCCGACATTAACCAAATATGTATACACGATAACTGAGTGCATTTGTCCTAAGTTCTTAATATTAAGCAGATATTGAGGGTTCCAAGTGATTGTATAACTGGGATGGTGGGGAAGCTAATTTAGTCAAGTTGGGGCAACTTTCCTAAGAAAGTGACTCCTGGCATCTTGAGGGAGTACACTTGAAGAATAGACAGATATAGATATAAATAGAGAATTTATATTATTTGTTATAGCTTATGCTTTATTTACATAATAATATTATATGGTTTACATTTTATATTATTTGTATTCTTGATGTCAAAATTTCAGAAATAACAGAAGTAAAACCAATGAATCATGGAAGTAGTAATTAATAAAAGTTTTTCGTTTGGTGTTTTTTCGTAAAAGTTTATTGTACACACACCAAAAAGACAAGACAGTTTGCGAACCAGGAGCACTCAAACCAAAACATGGAATGAGGCTCAGGGGGACGTTATTATAAAGCAGCTTAAATAGTGAGAAAGCAGCGACAATTAATTCCTCACGACAATTGGTTGTAATATCGGAATTTTCAGTGGTTACCTTATGTTAACCTTGGGAACGGTTCAAGTTTTGCTTCTGATTTCCAGAGGCATAAGCAAGAAATGACCCAGGTCAAGTTAGTCTTGCAAAATAAGCTAAATTAAGCTTTGTTTGCATGGCTAAACTGGTTTTGACTGCTCAGGGAATTTTCAAGGCTGTTTGTTTTATATTTTAACATTGTAGAATATGTTAATTCTTTTCCCCCCACGAGCACTTCACCTTACAGTTTTCAAAACATTTGTCCATCTTTCTTATTGGTGGCTCGTCACACAGCTTTTTAGAGGTGGCAAGCCACAGAGACTGCTCACCTGCTCAGTGGCAAGAGCTTGGACTTCGGGAGCAGCCCATGCTAAGTCCTGCTCTCTGGTCCGTTACTAACTCGCTGTGTGACCCTGTGCTCACCACTCTCCCTCTCTGGTTTTTAATTTTCTCTACAAGATTGTCCCGAAGGGTCAGACCAGTGTTCCCACTCAGCCAGAAGGCCTACAAAGTTTTGCAGCAAGATTCTCATCAGATAGCTACAAAATGAAAATCAAAAATACAGATAACACAGAGGATTTTGATTTTTTTTTCCCGTAGTAACATTAAAGTTATTTAAGGAGAGTAACTGTCTTTTTTATTCTTAGATGTCTTACTTCTTTCACATTAACATGTCCTTATTTTATGACATGACAATGGAGGTTAATAATCTTGAGTGTTTTTTTTTTTAATGTCCTTAATTGGCAAGTTGCCAACCCCTTGATTTTAAGGGGTTATTTGATCCCAAAGATGGGGACCGCTGGTCTAGACTTCCTTTAGCTTCCAGAGCTGCAGTGTCATGGAGAACTTTGAGTCTGCACAGTGACCCCAGCTTTCCCCTCCACAGGGTCCAGCCGCCGCTACCAGGTGAATGCCGTGCACACCAGCAAGGCCTGCAACATCATCAGCAAGTACACTGCCTACGTGCCTGTGGACGTGAGCAAGAGCCGGTACCTGCCCACCGTGGTGGCATACCCCAACTCCGGTAAGGCAGATAGGCGGCCAGGGCACTCCCGAGGGCCAGGCAGCTCCTGTGGGCTGAAGGAAGCAGCTGGGATGTAGAGAAGCACAGACCTGCAGGGAAGGGTACGAGGAAGGACCTAGAAGCAAAATAGCCCCCAGTGGATGGTTTGGCTGCCAGGGAGTGGAGGAGATACATACATCCACTGCTCTACAGAAGGCTGTGAAACCACCCCACGCCCTTATTCCCATGAAATAAATATGACTTGACTGAATTTTTCTAATTAGGACAATGATATGTGTTCATTGTAGAAAATATAGAAAGACATAAAATAAAAGTGACTGGAAGTGGCAGAAATGAATACCAATTACTTCCTTGGTGTGACCATCCTTCCAGACATGTAGAGAAATCAAAACACAAATAATTCTGCACGAATTGGATCACACCAATATATGTTCTATCTTACAAAATGTAGGTATGGAAAATATCTTCTCATGAAGGTGAATCTATGTCATTATTTTAAAAGCTGCAGCATCTTCCACTGCAGAGAAATATCATCATAATCGCCAGTTAGACAGTGTTCTAAGGCACTATATATACATATATATATA